ATCAGATCGTTAAAAACTTTAGGTCAACCAACGGAATATTGGGACACTTTACTAATTCACTTAATTTCAAATAAAATCGATACAAAAACTAAGCGAGCATGGGAAAGTTCTATTAAAACCAATGCAATACCAGACCTCAAACAGTTGTTTGACTTTTTGTCTTCACAGTACATGATTCTTGAATCAGTAGAAAGAAAAGATAACAAATCCAACACAGTATCTTGTCAAAACCATGCACATTTTTGTATCTTGTCTCGTTATAAATAAACGGAAATGTAGGTTATGCGATGAAAGTCATGCATTGTACCAATGTAAAAAAATTTTGGATTTGACGCCAAAACAACGCCTCGAAAAGGTCAAGAATTTTAAACTTGATCTTTGCATCAATTGCCTTAAACCCGGTCATATACACGGAAACTGTAAACTAGGTAATTGTAAGAAATGTGACAATGCTCATAATACCTTGTTGCATTTTGAAAAAAGTAACTTTTCTACTGCACGTTCTTCTAATCCTCCAACGACAAGTGTGGTATCTGCACATACGATGAACAATAACAATGAATATGTTTTATTGTCTACAGCTCTATTATGGGTAAAAAATGCAATGGGAAATTTAATCAGATGTCGGGCTTTAGTAGACTCCTGTTCACAATCAAATTTTATTACCACTGAACTTGCATCTAAATTGAATTTACAAAAAACTAAGGTTTTAGCATCCATTAACGGAGTTAATCAATCGAACTTTAATGCAACTACTAGAACACAGACAGATATTTATTCATTAAACAAGCATTTTAACAAAAAATTGTCATTTTTAATAATTGATAAAATTACGGATAAGTTACCACAACAAAAAATTGATAAGGAGCGATTACAATTTCCTGAAAAATTACAACTCGCTGATCCTGATTTTCATAAACCCAACAGCGTAGATATTTTGCTAGGTGCTTCAGTTTTCTTTGAACTACTGTCAATAGGACAAATCAAATTGAATGGAAATGAAGGACCCATTCTTCAAAAAACAAAACTGGGTTGGATAATAGCAGGGAATATCCCATTTTCGTTGAATTGTAACTCTTGTTTTCTGATCACTCGTAAAACCATTAATGAGAATACTGCATTATTGAAACCTTTGGAAAGATTTTGGGAAATTGTGGAATCACCGAAGGTTAACCATTTATCTCCTGAAGACTTGGAGGTTGAGACTTACTTTCGCAACACTTATCAAAGAGAGACGGATGCTTGTTTTCATGTTTCGTTGTCATTGAAGGACAATCCTCAAATTTTAGGTGAATCCTATGATATTGCAAAAAATTCAGAATTGGAGAAGAGTAAAAGGTTATTGGTCAAATTGGCTCAAGAACAAGAATTTAACGAGGATATATCGAATTTAAAGGCCAAGAGAATTAAACTGACCAGTAAGTTGAAAACTTTAGATCCATTCTTAGACGAAGATGGTCTTTTGAGAGTGGGTGGTATATTGGCAAACACTGATTTAACATTTTCACGTAAACACCAAATAATTTTACCCTCTAAACACAAGTTAACTGAATTAATCATTCGACATAAACATCTGGAAAATTTACATGCTGGCGTTCAAACTCTTCTTTCGATTATAAGACTTGAACATTGGCTTATAAACGGAAAAAATGTGATTAAAAAGATATTACGTTCATGCACAATTTGTTTTCGAGTAAAACCTGGATTCATTTTTCCAAAGATGGGTATGTTGCCCAAACAACGAACAACACCAGTACGACCATTTACGAATGTAGGTGTGGATTATGCCGGTCCTATACTAATCAAGGATGCTAAATTAAGAAAACGAAGGTTTATTAAGTCTTACGTTTGTTTTTTTGTTTGTTTGGCTACGAAGGCATTACATTTAGAGTTGGTAACTGATTTGACATCTGACACATTTCTGAATGCATTTAAAAGATTTGTGGGTAGACGAGGTTTGTGCAGATGCTTATATTCCGATAACGCTACTAATTTTAAAGGGGCTAAGAGTGTAATGTATACTAGTTTAGAAGATCTATCTAAGGATCCTGATATTTCAAATTATTTTCGTGACAAAGGGGTCATTTGGCACTTCATTCCCGCAAGAAGCCCTCACTTTGGTGGGATTTGGGAAGCTGAGGTTAAACGGGTTAAGTATCATTTAATGAGAACAATTGGTGATGAAAGACTAACCTATGAGACCTTTTCCACAGTTTTAATCCAAATTGAGTCAATCCTAAACTCGTGACCTTTACTTCCTTTATCCTCTGACCCTCAAGATTTGGAATTATTGACTCCAGGACATTTTTTGATTGGCGCGGCCTTATTGGCAGTTCCTGAAGTAGATGTTTCAGAAATTCCTGCTAACCGATTAGCAAATTACAAACAACTCCAAAAATTACACCAATCATTTTGGAAAAGGTGGTCATTGAAGTATTTGCATACTCTACAACAAAGGACGAAGTGGAGATTCTACCGAGAAGATCTTGTCAAAATTGGAAGTATGGTTCTGCTTAAAGATGACAACCTCCCCCCAATGCAGTGGAAAACAGGAAGAATAGAAGAACTCCATCCTGGTCCAGACGGAAAGATTCGTGTGGTGAAGATCCATACTTCAGGTGGAGCTGTGTCTAGAAGTGTATCTACATCGAGTTTGTGTTTTACCAATAGAAGGACAGTAACTGACTTTATATATTATATTTTCTTAAGTTTCTTTATGTGTTGTTTTTTTTATCTTTTGAAAGATAACTCTGTCAAGGCTGGAGTTATGTTGCGACTCTCGTTCATAGATGTCGTTAGTGAGCGGTCGAAGGGACACACGTGTCGAGTTACATTATATTTGAGTTAAACAAAATAAATTAAAACAAAAATACAAGCTTTTCATTCAACTATATACAGTCCACAACAGTATCGTATTATAAACCAAAATTTAACCACCCTATCGAATTAGGTGATGAAGCAAAACGTTTAGATTATTGTTTGTGGCTTGGGTACAAAATTTTGAAAGACAGAACTTTTTTAAAAAACATAAAAACATTGCGGCCCACATTCGACCATTTTAATTAGAATTTATTTAAATACGTTATTTCGAAAAAAATGGATTGGTAGATATGATCCGCAACCATAGTCGCCAAGAAGTCCGGATTTATTTATTATGGATTTTTATTTTTAAGGTTATGTAAAACAAAAGGTGTACTCTGAAAATTTTAATAACAATTTAGACCGTTTAAAACAAAAAAATTGAAACTGTTATTAGAGAAATTTCATTGGACCATATTAGAAAAAGTTATAAACAATGTCGGAAAAGGGCTGAATTATGTGTTAGTGTTGGTGGTGGTATCATTGAATAAGCTTTTATGTTAATTTAGTTTAGATCGAAAATATTTTATTAATCTTATGATTTAAAAATCTGCATTTTGCTTTTATATCCTACATTAATAAAATTCGGCATATCGCTATAATTTAACATAACATACATTTTATCTTAATCAACTTTTGTTGTACATTGCTCAGAAAGACCACTTTACCTGCAACAGTTAACAAACTTCTTGCGTTAACTTTGGTACTTTGAAGACATTTAACGTAAAACTTGGTTATATTTCGTTTTATGTCATCCAGACTTTAAATGCAAAAGATAGAATTTGAATTCCAAAATTTATCGTCAATTATACCTTACGGGGACACACTGTATACATACAGTGTACAAAGAGAGCTGCAGGGAAAATAATGAAGTTGCAATGAGTCAAAATTCCTTAACAAAAATGATGAAAAAAATAAATATTAGTCTCTATCAACCAAAAAAAGACAAGTGTGACATTTGCTGCCAATACGAGGAGAAGAATTTATCAGTTGAAGAATGGGAAAAGCATTGCAAGAAGAAGGAAGTGTTGAGAAAAAGATAAATAAATCCTGTATTCAAGAAGCTATTACAGTGTTACATAAACAACACATACAGTATAAAATTATAGTGAAATTTCATAAGGGTACAACTTTTAATATGTTTACAATCGTTTCTCAAAATTAATCAAATGTTTTTGGAAATTGATATGCAAAATAAGTGTTAATTTTACATGTCATTTTTATCCAGAGTTGAAGTTAATAAAAAGTGGTTATTGCGGAGTAGCGAGTATTACGATATAACCTAACGATCCCCATTTGCCAAAATATTAAAAAAGAAAATTAGTAAAATCATATTATGGCCAGTAATTTCACATTTCCTAACACTGTGGGCCATAGGCATGTAGGTAAGGAATTTTAAGTAGTTTAAGTGGTGTCGTGACACCAGCCAGTTTTTTCTACGTGTTTGGCAACGCGAAGTTTTTGTCAGGATGTAGATGGTAAAACACAACAATCGGTAAAGCTTAATTCTTACTTTATTGTCTTCTTACACTTTGGTAATTTGATGATTGAAGAACGAATTCAGGAGATGTGCGACGAGTAAAAGATAGTTGTTAACTGTGTTGAAGTCGAAGAAAATAAGAGAATAAGAGAGGGAGCTTTTGGAACCGAGAGTTTATATATACGACCCTATCGCATTTTCGGTGGTCAACCCGCGCAAATGAACTAGGGGCAAAAATAATCTAGTCGCACACACATCCTGTTGTTCGCTCTCCAGTTCTTATCGTATTTTCGTGGTCGAAAATACTTCGTTAGGGTAATGAGGGTTAGAATTGATTAGGAATAAAGCTTCCTGTTACATTGGTATCTAACAGTGGGTTAAGGTAGTAAGAAAGAATCATTCTCCCTTTCGGTAATTCTTTGTTTGAAATTCTTCTTATTTGAGTTGTTTTTGATTTTTGGAACTTTATGTCTTCACAGGGCTACCTAATTTGAAGATAAATTGACATAAAAAAAAAAAACTTGTGACTGATGGTAAAAGGGCTATATAAGCCCAGACACCAAGTTGTTACCCCTGGTTTCAAGAAGAAGAAGAGTTACAACGATGTTTATTAAAAAAGAAAAAGTGAGGTTATGTTCGATTTCATATCAAAACAAAAAAATAAATTTCTAATTTGTATTTAAGACATATCTCGACAAATTAATGGAATAACAATTATCTATCTATACATAATATCTATTTCTATCTTATTTAACATATAATACATTGTTTTTTCATTATTTTTCTTGCTTTCAATAGAATATCATCAAAAATCCTTTAAATGCACTCTTCTCATCTCTTACAATTTATTTTCTTCTCATTATTTCTTAAAATCTTTTTCTTATATACGCGACAAATGGAACATTATTGTACAAATACATAGCTATATATATAATTTTTTTTCAATTAAAAAAATTAAAATTTCTAATCCTCAAGGTTCCTAAAAGCTTGTTGAATATCCTCGTAAAGTTGATCGAAATCCGCCTTGATTTTCGCCTCACCGTCTTTAACGGGATCTTTGAACTTCATGGAACTGAGTTGGTACAAGATATTTCCCATCGAGTCCCTAATAACGTTCCAAGTAATTTTATTCTCGGATTGCGCGGTCGATTCAACAGCATGTCTCGCCATATCATACAAACCAATCATGTTCTTCAACATCCCAACGGTTTTATAAAACGGACAAAAACGATCGTAAGCCGAATAAGAATTTTGTTGCAAGAAATCTTCTTTCAATAATTTAGCAACTTCCAAAGTGATTTTATCGCTTTCCGCCAACGAAGCTTTACCAACCAATTGTACGATTTCGGATAAATCTTCTTCTTCTTGAAGGATTTCTTTAACTTTCGTACGCAAAGCGACGAATTCCGCGAAATTCTTATCGTAAAAGTCGTCCAAAGCTCGAGTGTATTTCGAGTACGAAATCAACCAATTAATTGAGGGGAAATGTTTCCTTTGAGCCAACTTTTTATCCAACCCCCAAAACACTTGTACGATACCCAACGTGGCGGAAGTAACAGGATCGGAGAAATCTCCACCGGGAGGTGATACCGCACCGACGATTGAAACGGAACCTTCACGATCCGGATTTCCTAAACACTTCACTCGCCCAGCTCTTTCATAGAAAGAAGCCAATCGAGCACCTAAATACGCTGGGTACCCAGAATCCGCAGGCATTTCAGCCAAACGACCCGAAATTTCTCTCAAAGCTTCAGCCCAACGCGAAGTTGAATCCGCCATCATCGAAACGTTGTAACCCATATCCCTAAAGTACTCGCTCAATGTGATTCCGGTGTAAATTGAAGCTTCACGAGCCGCCACAGGCATGTTACTGGTGTTAGCAACCAAAGCGGTACGTTTCATAATGGACTCTGTTTGTCCGTCGATTTCAACGGTTAATTCGGGGAAATCCCGCAATACTTCAGACATTTCGTTACCACGTTCTCCGCAACCGACGTAAATAATAACATCGGAGTTGGAGTATTTTGATAACGATTGGGAAATGACGGTTTTGCCGCAACCGAAAGCTCCGGGGATCGCGGTTGTTCCTCCTTGGACGCATGGGAAGAGGGAGTCCAGGACGCGTTGTCCGGTGAGTAAGGGATGATTCGCTGGGAGCTTTTCGCTGACTGGACGGGGTTGACGTACTGGCCATACTTGCAACATTGTGTATTTTGAACGTTCTCCATCAAATTCGGTTTCTAAGACGATGTCCTGGAAAAAAAGAATTATTAAAAATTTGAACTAATAATAACTTCATTAATAATTTTAACCCGTAGCTCATTGTTACATAAGTATCCCATTTCAAAACTTTGGGAAAGATTCAAAAGATGGAAAAATGAGTTTCATATGAATTGAATTGAACACTTAGTTTATTTATCAAAGGCCGCTTGCGGCGAAGGCATTAATGTAGGTATATAATATATACCCACTCTGATGTATACTGCTAATACGTTATATATTAGTAATAATGTATACTAGAAATAATATACTATACAGGTAACCCCCGTATAACACGGTATCCTTACAAAACGGTTACACTCTAACACGATTCGTGAATTAGGAAGAATTTTCATATAACACGGTTTCTTACAATACGGTTTCGCTCTAACGCGGTTCGAGAAGTAGTGGAGATCCCTGTAAATAGTGAAGATCCCCTCAACACGGTATTTTTACTTCAACTATAGGGAAATCCCCTATTATTTCGTGATGTGATATTTCTCATTCGAGCGACACGCTGAATTCGACTGACACAGTCGTGTTAGCTTTGTGCATCTACAAGTTTGATAATTTTATTTTTATGTATTACACATGTAGGATGTCCCACGACGAACTGCGTTGATCGATATAGGAGAAACTATGAGTAGTATCTTTCTGAAAATTTGTAGGTGCACTTATGTCGATATGCCCAACTCTCCTAAAATATTTTCAAGATTGTCGCACTTCCGGTTATACCGGAAGTAGACAACAACTTCGTTATTTTAAATGGAACCACCTATATATTATTACATATTTAGATTCTACGTCCGATTTTAATTAACTTTTACTTAAACATCTTATATAAAATTCTTACCCGTTTCTGAAATATTTACAAATTTATGTAAAAAAATTACCTATGTAGGCTTGTATGTTATGTGTATTTCTGCTAACACTGTTAAGTATTTGTTATATCTGATGAAAGGAATTTGAAGAAGAGACTATAGCTTAACTTTTGGTAGCTCATATGTTGTCCTACTACATACAGGGTGTTCAAAAAAAGCTGCCAAATATTTATATAAGAAAAAGCGAAAAACTCAAAAAAATTAAATGGAAACCATATATTTTTTTAATTGTATCTGAATCTACATTAAAAATAAAGGTAACTTTATGTAAGGTTCCCTATATCTAACTATCGCCGTTTCTTTGTAATTTTCGTTTTAAATAGTTTAAGATTATTCAAAACAATTTTGTGTCAAAGACGGCCATGACTACCGAGAAACAAATGAAGGTAACACAAATGTCATTATATCATTTATAAAATTCACTATGCCCGCACGTTTAAATTATACTAATGAAGATTATCTAAATCTATTTATTATCTATGGAGAATGTAACAAAGTTTTAACAAGAACATGCGATACATTTGCTGCTCGATATCCGCAAAAACGGAAACCATCCCCGAATACCTTGAAACAAATAATTTATAACTTCAAGACACATGGTTCCGTAAAAGGAAAAGTTCTCAAAAAGAAGCCTATTGTAGATAATGAAAATGTGGAAATCGCTGTTTTAGGATATTTCAATGCATATCCGACAATATCTCTCAGACAAGTTTCAAAAGAATCTGGACTTTCCAAAAGCTCAATCCACAGAATTTTGAAAAAACATAAGTATCATCCGTATTCAATTTCCATAGTGCAACATTTAAGAGATACTGACTTCGCAAGAAGAGTGAATTTTTGTGAATTTATTTTAACTGAACACTATGGAAATAATCAATTTTTGGACAATATTATTTGGTCTGACGAGGCAAAATTTACCAAAAATGGTTTGTTTAATAGACATAATTCGCATTATTGGAGTGATTCTAATCCTCACAAATTTACGACGAGTAATTTTCAAGGAAGCTGGCAATTCAATGTCTACTGCGCTATAAGAAACGATAGAGTAGTAGCGTTGCATTTTTATGAGGAAAATCTAAATGGTAAATAATTAAGAAATAATTGGTATAACGAATAATTTACAATTAATTTTAATTGCTGCAATTAATTTTTTTCTAGGCGAAAGATATTTAAACATTTTACGAAATTTTGATACTAATTATTTAGAAAATTTACCTCTGGTTGAATTAACACAAATTTTTTACCAACACGATGGAGCGCCTCCGCACAACGGCTATTTAGTTAGCAATTTCCTCGAAAATATATTTAATGGCCAATGGATTGCTAATAATGGACCTTTCTTGTGGCCACCTAGATCACCTGATTTGTCGGTTTTAGATTACTTTATATGGGGTACTATCAAAAATCAAGTTTATAGCACGACATTGACCACTCAGGAAAATTGTATGGAAAGAGTGCGAAATGCGTTCAATAACTTAAATCCAGATTTTTTGAGAAAGGCTACCCATCAACAAGTCATCTTGCGATGCGAAAAATGTTTAGAAGTTCAAGGGAAAAATTTTGAACATTTATTAAAGTAGAGTTAGTTTTCTCATACTTAGTACGTTAAATACAAATTACTTAATACATAATTTGTCATACTTTCATTTGTTTCTCGGGAGATTGTTTAAAATGTTGAAGTTATGAATTATTTGTTTTAAGGTATTCGGGGATGGTTTCCGTTTTCGCGGATATCGAGCAGCAAATGTATCGCATGTTCTTGTTAAAACTTTGTTACATTCTCCATAAATAATAAATAGATTTAGATAATCTTCATTAGTATAATTTAAACGTGCGGGCATAGTGAATTTTATAAATGATATAATGACATTTGTGTTACCTTCATTTGTTTCTCGGTAGTCATGGCCGTCTTTGACACAAAATTGTTTTGAATAATCTTAAACTATTTAAAACGAAAATTACAAAGAAACGGCGATAGTTAGATATAGGGAACCTTACATAAAGTTACCTTTATTTTTAATGTAGATTCAGATACAATTAAAAAAATATATGGTTTCCATTTAATTTTTTTGAGTTTTTCGCTTTTTCTTATATAAATATTTGGCAGCTTTTTTTGAACACCCTGTATGTAGTAGGACAACATATGAGCTACCAAAAGTTAAGCTATAGTCTCTTCTTCAAATTCCTTTCATCAGATATAACAAATACTTAACAGTGTTAGCAGAAATACACATAACATACAAGCCTGCATAGGTAATTTTTTTACATAAATTTGTAAATATTTCAGAAACGGGTAAGAATTTTATATAAGATGTTTAAGTAAAAGTTAATTAAAATCGGATGTAGAATCTAAATATGTAATAATATATAGGTGGTTCCATTTAAAATAACGAAGTTGTTGTCTACTTCCGGTTTAACCGGAAGTGCGACAGTCTTGAAAATATTTTAGGTGAGTTGGGCATATCGACTTAAGTGCGCCTATAAATTTTCAGAAAGATACTACTCATAGTTTCTCCTATATCGATCGACGCAGTTCATCGTGGGACACCTTAGTAGCTTGCATAATACCGCATCGCTTTTGTTTTGCGATATTTCTCATATCAGTCATAATAAGGGAGGAGGAGGCCAATGCGTTTTCAAATGTTTACATTTTAATATCTCCTGGACCACTCAACCGATTTAAATAATATTTAATTGACTATTAAATGATGTTGTCAAAGTTATAGCTCATCGTCTAAGTTTCTGAGATAGCGGGAACTTTATGTTTCTCAATGGCAGTTACGCCCCCTAGCGGTCGAATTACGAACTTCAAAATAATTTCTAGCTATTTCTCTTGGTCACTTTGCTTATAAGGATTTTCTTCCCAAACCTCTAGGCCTTAACGTTGTAGAGATACAGCCGCTCCGTACGCTTAACGGGACACCTGTATATGTAATAGAAAAAAATGGCGTATGTATTGTTATTAAAACTTTGAAAAATGTTAAATATTATTTTTTCTAGCTTCGAACAATGATTACTATAAAGAAAAAAACACCTCTTAAAAGACATTTCATTTCATTAGAACAAAAAATTCAGATTTTGGATCGCCTTAAAAAGAGGAAGAAGATCCTACATTTGAATGAAGCTACAATACGTGCTATACAAAAAAATGAACAAAAAATTAGATCTTCCGTTACTGCAGGTTGTTCCATCTCCGCAAATATGACAGCTCGTCGTAGAGCACCAATTCTTGAAAAAATGGAAAAAGCTCTAAGTGTTTGGATTGACGATTGCTTAAATAAACGAATGCCACTAGACACAAATATTATTAAAAATAAAGCCTTAAAAATCTACAACTTTTTAATAGAAAGTGGAGAATCTGCTACTGATTTGGTCTTGTCCCAAATCCAAGATGGCGAAGAAAAGGTGATAGGATACTTCAGCAAGACTCTATCGAAACCTTAACGCAACTACTGTAACACGGAGAGAACTCTTGGCGGTTATAAAGGCAGTAAAACATTTTTACAAATATCTTTACGATCGCAAATTCCTGCTAAGGACAGACCACGCTGCACTAACATGGCTGCTCCAGTTCAAAAATCCCGAGAGTCAGATTACGAAACTCCAACAGTTCGATTTGATATAGAGCACCGAGCGTTCCGAGTACATTGCAACGCTGATACCCTATCAAGAAGACCATGTCCTGTACACTGCAAGCATTGCCAACGAACAGAATGGAAAGAAGCTCAAGTTTACAGGACAACAGTCGTAGATGACCACTACAATGTTGAGAGCGTAAAGACCGACCAAGGTAACGACCACGTCCTAAAATTGAATATCGAATGGAAAAGGCAGGACCGGAGACCAACTTGGGGTGAGGTTGCTAAGTACTCACCGGCTGTGAAGACATACTGGGCGCAATGGAATTCTTTGGTCCTAACTGACGGGCTTTTGCAACGACGACTTGAAGATGCAGATGGTGGCGACATGAGGAATCAGATTGTTATTCCTCGTTGCAGAGTTCCGGAAGTTTTAACGGAAATTCATAATGGGGTCACCAGAGATCACCTGGGCACAACTAAGACTCTTAACAAGTTAAGAGAGAGGTTTTATTGGGCGAATTGCAAGGATGAC